GCAGCAGCAGCAGCAGCAGCAGCAGCAGCAGCAGCAGCAGCAGCAGCAGCAGCAGCAGCAGCAGCGAGAGCAGCAGTTGAAGGAATGGCGGCGGTAGATGCAGCAGGTGCAGCAACAAGGAAAGCAGGAGAAGCAGCAACAGAAGCAGCAGCAGCAGCAGCAAGAGCACAAGCAGCAGCAGCAGCAGCAGTAGCAGCAGCAATAGCAATAGCAACAGAAGCAGCAGCAGGAGAGACAGCTGCAGCAGCAGCAAAGCTGCAGCAGCAGCAAAAGAGCAGCAGATTGCTTATACTGCTCCTCAACTCAACACTCTCTCCGTCGCAGAGGGTTTAGGGTTTAGGGTTTAGGGTTTAGGGTTTAGGGTTTACGTGTTCCCCTGTGGAGAGTTTACTACATAGATGCCTCGCGCTGTAGCCGCCGCCAAACAAATGTTATCGACTCCAACCCCCGCTCGGCCTGCAGCAGAGGGTTTAGGGTTTAGGGTTTAGGGTTTAGGGTTTAGGGTTTAGGGTTTGGGGTTTAGGGTTTAGGGTTTGGGGTTTTGGGAGGGTTTTAGGGTTTAGGGTTTAGGGTTTAGGGTTTAGGGTTTAGGGTTTGGGGTTTAGGGTTTAGGGTTTAGGGGTTAATGTAGTGGAATAAGGAAGGGAACGGAGAAGTGATGCTGCTGCCCTGCAGCAGCCGTATGGCTCCTAAACCCTAAACCCTAAACCCTAAACCCTAAACCCTAAACCCTAAACCCTAAACCCTCACCAATGACTTTGAGTTTAGTGCCGCGCTCTATAACCGCCTCGGTGACGGTGGTTGCGCTGCGGACGATGAGAGCATCGAACTCAGCTGCAGACAAACCCTAAAACACTAAACCACAATTTAGGGTTTAGGGTTTAGGGTTTAGGGTTTAGGGTTTAGAGTTTAAGGTTTAGGCTGTAAGGTTAAGGATTTAGGGTTTAGGGTTTATGGGCTACGGTTTAGGGTTTAGGGTTTAGGGTTTAGGGTTTAGGGTTTGTGTTAAGTAATGAGATGTGTGCCTGGCGTTGCTGCAACGGCAGCCAATAAACAAAATAAATAAAATAAATAAAAAAAAAATAAAATAAATAAAATACATAAAAAAAATAAAAAAATAAATAAAATAAACAAAACAAAAGAGAAGGCAGAGAGAAAGAAAAAGATAGAAGGGGAAACGAAGAGAAAGACAAAGAGAGACAGAAAGAGAGAAAACAAAATAAAAAAAAAATAAAATAAAAAAAATAAAAAGGAGAATACACAAGGGGGAGAAGGAAGAAGAAAGCAAAGAGACAAAAGGACACACAAAACCTAAACCCTAAACCCTAAACCCTCAGCTAGAAAAGAAACTAAAGAGGAGACAGAAAAAGAAAAAGGAGACAGAAGAAGAAAAAGGAGACAGAAGAAAATATAAAAACTAACGGATGATATGCAGCAGCTGTTCTGGGGTTATTTTTTTATACGCCTCCACCTAAACCCTAAACCCTAAACCCTAAACCCTAAACCCCAAACCCTAAACCCTAGACCCTAAACCATCAACTAGAACACAAACAAGAGACGAGAAAGAAAAAGAAGGAGACAGAAGAAGAAAAAGAAAACAGAAAAAGAAAAAGGAGACAGAAGAAAATATAAAAACTAACGGATGATATGGAGCAGCTGTTCTGGGGTTATCTTTTTATAGGCCTCCACCTAAACCCTAAACCCTAAACCATCAAATAGAACACAAACTAGAGAGGAA